GTATAATACATATATACGATTCGGCACATCGCATCGTCCACCTCGCTTGCGCACACATTCAACACGCTTTTACATACAGACGATATATTAACACTCGTGAATTCTTTCTTCTTTTGTTTTTTTGTTTTTTTTTTTTTTAGTGACTGCGTATAACATATAGCGACGCACATTGCCCTTGCGTGTCGCACACACTGTCGTGGCCGGTGGTGTGGACAATAGAAATTCGTTATTACGTGGCTTCCCAGACAGCACAGGATACTTCACGAATATATAATAGCACAAATATCCTGTGCAGCTTGCGCCATGAAGACGCGATATAATTGATAAGGTAAAAATATTTCCGCAAAAGTGTAATTTAACACCGCACAGAATATTTACGGAATGCGCTGTGCTATCTGGATTCGATTTGTCTCTTGCTCTCAATTTCCGTTCGACGTCGCTATGTAAACTTTTCGTAATTCGAATCAACGTAGACGCGTTGTTCAAAAAGAAAAAAGGAAAAGTGGGAGGGGGGAATACGAGAATACTCGCGTCGAGACACTAAATCACACGTTTGCACTCGCTTCCACTTGACTTTGTGCCGGATGTGAACATTTATGTTTCACGGAAGTTGTTGATAGATAATAGTCGCGAAGAGATTCTCTTCTACTCGCTCAATTCTTCTTCTCTCTCTCTCTCTCTCTCTCTCTCTCTCTCTCTCTCTCTCTCTCTCTCTCTCTCTTCTCTCTCTCTCTCTCTCTTCCTTTGTTCGTGTCGCATAGACGCTTCGCCCAAATTTTGTTTCCATTATTTGGTGACTAGCTTATAATAATGGCTCTAGATGATAAAGATGGAAGCAGGCAAGTCGCAAGATGCGAAACCTGAAGCTGACAAACTGAGAGGCAAGTCACGCAGATCTCATAAGAAAAAGGATCCAAGGCCTCTGACTACTTTATATGTAAAAAGAAAAAAATCCTGTCAGAAGAACCTAAAATGAATACGCGATGATCCTATGTTTCAAGATCTTGATGGAAGGTTTTTACGGCTATGTAAGAAATCCTCAACGACACACCTGCACTGTCACATCTGAAGAATCTCTAACGTTGGTTGAGAATACGAGCAGTGATGGAAATATCGCGAAATTCGTGTCACTTAGAGATGCAAGAGGAGAAGAAACCTGTTATGTAATGCCTCGAAATTTCTATTCCCGGTTGAATTGCGATGAAAAGTAAAAGAATGGAACAGACAAGACACAGCGCTAATGTGACTGAGTAAAACAGCGAGATAAAAGATAACCTTCGTGATTGTTTTTTATTTTTTGTTTTGTAGAACAAGATCCAAATCCAGATCCATCGTAGAGAACAATCGAGGTGTTTAAAAATAATTGCATAGATCGGACGTGACGTGTAAACCAAGCATAGCCGTTTTAATTGTGCGATCCACGAAAAGATTAGACTATAAAGATTCGTAAAAACCAGTAATTAACCATTAATTAATAGCGAAGAATAAGAATAACTATCGGGTGTATTATAGTGCGTTATAGAAAGCTCGGCACCTCATTCATTTCATTCTTAACTTTTTACTTTACTTCATTTAACTTTGATTCCCATTATCTATACGAAGATTACGAGCAAGTACTCGGCGTTAACTCTTTGGCCGCGGCGTACAAAAAGTTTCTTCGAAACTATAGCGAAAGGATAGAGATATATATTGCGATTACGACGAGGGTGCTCAGATTTATTATATTCATATTAGCACACAATGATATACGCACATAGACCAAAATATTTCTAATTTTTGCAGAACAAGATCGAAGTCGGCGATTGGCAACGTAAAACGCGCGAGGACTTCTCTCGATGCCAAATTTTTGCGGACTCAATACCAAAAATAGTTTCTTCTTTTTATAAAATATTATATACAGTTACAAATTTGCAATAATTAAATACCGTAGCTATAGAATGATTCCCGTGTTTCAGTAGGAAGATGAATGGAACAGTAACTATCGATTGACTATCTTCATTCAAGTCACATCGCTTGATCTATGTATATACGTCATTGACGCGCAGAAGAACCCGCAAAAATTCCACTACTTCTCGGCGCAACGTCAACCGAAGTGCGTAATCAAATTCGGGTGGCGGAGAGGTGGGGTTCGGGGGGGGGGGAGCGGGGAGGGGGAGGGGATTGGAGGGTTTACCGTACAGGGTGTCCAAGTAGCGACGAGGAAAACGAATGTAGCGGATGGGCGAGATTTTCGCATACCGGCCTTTCTCATCCTACGGGACACACTCGTCATAAAATAGATCCGCGGTGACCAATTGCCGAATCAGTCGCGTGAAAATTTGTACACGTCTATCCGCACATCATCGGGAGCGCGAGACGATCTCTCGGAAAGCGCGAGAACGCGAATTTCGGTTGCGCGAAGTAAGAACGATCGACTCTCACGCGAGAGTCCGGGGACGCCGTGCGTGCAGCGTATTGCGAAATCATACCTGCGTGCGCCGTAGTAAAAGAAACTGAACGTGGCACATTTCTTACGTGGGCTAGGATATGCAGACGACTGCTGTTGCGGTAGCGCGCGTGCCTAAGTACAGAGAAAAACTAAAAGGTAACTCGAGTTACGGTATATACGTCGGTAAAAAAAGAAGGGAGAAGGGAAATCCATATCCGCGAGAGACCTCGATCGTAAGAAGCGTACGTAAAAACGATGAGAATCCGTGGACGGTCACCCTGTATATACTCGATACATAGTTGTATAATTAAAACGCTCTTCGAAATACTGTAAAATCTCACAAAATACTCTTCTCGTAAAAAGGGCGCGGCTGAGACTCCTACGGGTCGGGCCAATGTAACGATAAAAAAAAAAAAAAAAAAAAAAAGTAAAATAAAAGAATCGAGATTCGGAAGTGTCGAAAGCTCAACGAATTCGAACGCGAGGAAACGAAGGAAATCAGAGACGCGGAGATTCTAAGCGAGATGTAAAGGAGGAGCGAGGCGAAAGTATAGTGGAGATTCGAAAACGAGGTAAGGAGGAAAGGCGAAAAAACGATAAAGGACTCTTCTTCTTTTTTTTTCTTTTGCTTTTACCGGAAAGGTTCGTCTAAATCTTAGGAAACATCCTTAACCGCTAAAGGTGAACGATAATAATTCACGTTTCAAGAGTGTGTTGAACGAAGAAAAAAAAAAATCGTCACTCGAATGCCACCAAGTGCCGAGTCACACCCGACGACGACGACGACGACGATGACGATGACGACGACGACGACGACGATGGCGACGACGTTGGCCCACGTTTACGACAGGATCCGCGCGAAACGGAATTCGCGCGCGAGAGGAATAAAATTAACGAGGTAATGGTTCACACATACACACGTTCGAGCGCGAGACAGTTTACATTTCCCCGCCGTCATTCCGGACGACGACGAGTCATTCAGCACACTCCATCATCTAACTCAAAGAAGAGCCGAGTGACTGAGAATACGTCCGCTGTGCAGAAGAGGGGTGGGGTGGGGTGGGGGGGCCGCTCATCTGCCTGAATCCCGCCGACCAAGAGAATTCGATCGATTCGCAGTCACTCTCAATGTCCGCTGATGCTCTTGACGGACGCGATCGCCCTCCGGTTAACGAATTCCGGTTCCGGACCGGCCAGGCAGACCGCGCGCGCGTGCGTTTACCTGAATACACTCTCGCGTGTATATCTTCGCGGGATTCCCCGCGGCCATGGTTCGCGGCTAGCTCGCTAGTAGCTCATTCGGCTCGCAGCAGCAGCTCGAAGCGCAGTACGAACGTGACGGTCAGATTAACGGGTGATGACAGGAGACGTCGGCAGGAACGAAGTCACAACAGTTCGTATTGGCGCAAGTGCATCCGCTGGATAATGTCTCGGCAATCGTTGAACACTCTTTTGATGTTCTCCGTGTCGACGGCGCAGGTGAAGTGCGGGTAACAGTAGTGCTTGCCGTCGCCGCTCGCCGTACTTATGCGCTGTAAAGGCGAGCGAGTGTTAGAATGCCGCTTAGACATTAGAATATTATTCTTATGTTTCGCAGAAATGTGAATTTGCTTCTTGTAGAAGTATTCTAATATTTCATAAGCGCGTATTAAATAGATATTAAAATATTTTACAGTCGAACAACCACGGGAGATGATCGAAAGCAACGTGTATTGTACTTACGAGAAACTCGTCTCTGATAAAGTACTTGGCCCTTATGACGTTAGGAGGTTCCGAGGTATCTGTGACCACTCCGGGCTCGACTGGCGTTTGATAGCGCGCGAATTCCGGAAAGTAATCTTCCAGTTTGTGCTTGCCCGCCTTGATTTTTTCTGCTAATAGATCCTGCTTGTTCAGAAACAGGATCACGGAAATCGTGCGGAGCCACCTGCGAGAAGAAAAAAAGAGAGATGTAACACCGTCGGAATTGTCGCGAACGAATGATGACTCATTGTCGTGGATTTTAAGGTGACTCAAACACAGATACCGAAGGGGCGTACCGATTGTTCCAGATACTTTTGAAGAGATCGAGACTCTCCCGGAGTCTCAACTTTGTAGGGTCTTCCCTGAGCACCATATTGTAACTACTACACGCTGTGACAAATATGATCGCCGTAACGTCATTAAAGCACTGTATCCATTTTCTCCTCTCATCGCGCTGGCCACCGACGTCGAACATGCTGCAAAAGAATTGGTGCTTAGCAAAATACAACATTATAAAGTGTCGACGAGTGGCCCACGCCCTTCTTGTAATCTCCAATTAAAAATTGCCTATTCAAAGAAATAACAAAACAACGGGGTTTATTGAACAAACGCGATCAAATCATCTTCTCACGTCATAACATTCGAATGTTTTTCAACGACAAATACTCGAATTTTTTACACTATAAGCAGACAGATTTTTCGAGTATTTGTCAGAGACCCACGCTGGATTTGTAGAGCCCATGAAACGCTTAGGAGCGTAGAAAGGAGAAGCGACAAAGAGGTTGGTAGGTGGGCCTATAGAAAATAATGTGGAGCGCCGTACGTGACCTGCGAGTGAACGCAAAAAGGGAAAATGTTACAAAGTTGCGGAGGCGTTAACGCGGTTAACGGATTTCAGCTTACACGTTTATAACACAGTATAAGTCTTGCCGGCAGCGGGTGTAACATATAGAGAGAGAAAGAGAGGGATGCTAGGCTAAGATGCGCGCCGCCGCCGCCGCCGCCGCCGCCGTCACCCGCCGCTTTGCGTTTATATTTACTGTCGGCCGATGTTACTGTAATACGTCGGCTATATATAGTCACACGACATTGGAGTAAAACGCGCGCGCGGGCCGTGGGTAGCGTGTGTCGCACTACGACTTACTGAAAGTTTACTTTGTCGACCTGAAACCGCGTCTCAAAAATGCCGGATGTGAGGACTCGACACCTCAGGATGTCCTGAAACAAAAAAATGCAGCGCATTACATTTATGCGTAAAATGGGAATCGCTTTGTAAGCGTTCAACGAAAATCGAAACCGGTACAATTTTCAAAATTTCTAAATTATTTCTAATTATGAAAAGTATTTAAAACACACACACACATTCTCTCTCGTTATAAAAGTTAAAAATTATTTAATTATAAAAATATTTTATTATCTACATTATATATTATAAAAATATTTATTATTTTCTGAATTATAAAGATAAAAAAGACCTTTGAAAGAAATAATCGTAGGTGAAGTTATATCGGTATCGATACTCATTTGAATGAAAGCGAGACTGTAATAATCACCTGTTCCGTGGGCGTGTAATCCGGCTGTTTTACGATGGCTACCTTATCTAGAAAACTGAAACAGAACGAAACAGCAGGGATTAGTGAAGTTTACCCGTGGATGTTTCGTTAAATAATCTGCCGCGATAATTTTTCCCGAATATTTACGCAGACTTGATTTTCAATCTTTATTTTAACATTTTTCTTCGCGCCCGGACGCGAAAATGTATCGTGTATTTATTCCCTGAAATATTCGATAACTACGTGCCACGGCATTCGCAATAATCCATGAATATTCCGTGCGTTATGCATGCCAAATGAAGAGACGAAAAGGCGCATTCCGTGCACGTTTTGTTAAGCGAACGTTACCAATTTGAGAGGAAATTGTTGCAAAAATGTTATTGCTATTTTCCAGTAACGCCGCTAACTTTGCGAATTATACTCGCCGATTCCAATCTTCTCTTTTTCCTAAATTTTACAACAGAACATTATTTTAACTCGAGCAGAGTTAAAATCCTTTTCTCACGAATTCCTCAAGACTTCTGTAAACTTTTTTCTTCGCCTTCGAAAACTTCGCGACGAGACATTATTTTTTAAGTTACGTGGATTCTTTTCTTCCTAATATCACAATTACAATTTTCTTATATTCTTATAAATTTTTTTTCTAAAAATCCACCAAGTGTCGAACCGTATGTAAAAAGAAAGCAAAAAGTATATCGAATGCCCGCGTATTCGACGACACAGCAATACGAATACATAAAAATCAAGTTGAACTAGTTTCGATCGATGCGGGGCATCCATGATAACAATCATCGTCAATCAACCGCATCGTTATCGTGAGAGCCACTCCACACGTCCGTATGTGGTCGAAACGTGTCTCTTTCGCGCGTGACGTATATGTGAATCGAATCTTCGGCACCGAAGTCGAGTCCCTGCGTTTCCGAGCGCGAATAAATCGCGGCACCTACGCGGCTACATACACGTAGACAAATAACATGTGAAAAAGCTACCATGTATATTAATCGGAAGAAGCGTACGCGCGGCGAAGCGCTTATCTCAAAAGCTACATATCAAAATCCCGACAATTTTATTAAGGTTTATCTCGTCGATTTATTTCACGTGATCCAGAATTTAAAATTCTAAAGGTGAAAAATTCACAAGAATAGAGAAATTCAGGACGAAAATATCGAGACAGCATCGGAGATGCTGCAAGGACGGTCTCTCGACGCCACAGAATTTCTCCTCGTGACTGTATTACGGATTCATTTTTATCTACTCCTTGCACGCTACATAAAAGACGTGTAAGTACACCTTACGTCGCTTTCCATCTGCTGCTCCGCACATACGGAGAATTTTCTTCAGTTTCAAACGTGTACTTTCGAAGTCTCAAAAGCAAAGGAAGAATAATACCGAAAAATCTGAATCTATAATGTTACTTTTTTTTTTTAGTATTTTGAAACGCGTGGTCGCAGACATCGGCGTGAAATATAACAAAGTGTAATAAGGGTGAAAACGAAAGCTGAAGATCTACGTGAGATAAGAAAACTGCTGAGCGGGGCTTTAAATTATGCATGAAAGTATCCATGTTAATGGCAGTAATAAAATATTTATCAATCGCGATCAGTGTAATCGAGTGATTCGAATGAGAAAACTTGGACGCGTTCGCGCTTTTAAGTTCAGAGCTGCGAGGTTCATTTAGAATTTTTACGGCTCGCTTTCAGAGAGGTGTATAATAGCGATAGCGAGGGGCGTTCTCCGGGAAGCGTGTTTGAAACGCGTCGCGCGTAAAGCGCTCTCCGCCGAGATCTTTTTGTCTTTGACGATTATCGTTTCATTCGGAAGAATAATCCCTCCGACCGACAACTTTTATTTCATTAAAGACCAACGCTCGGCGGAACGAGACGTAATTCCCCGGCGGGATAATGCATATTATTTACGTAACAATAAATCGTATTGTGTATTATATTCGCGCGATCTTGTGACTGTTGTATTCACGATATTGTTACGTTATGTGATTATATCCGATGATATAATTATATAATGCGATATCTTCGATAATATAATTATGACATCACGCTGTCGAATTTAAGTCATATTAATGCGATCGGAATAAGTGGCATGCATATTAAATAGGATGTTCGAGAATTCTACGCTGAAATAACTGCGGTGTTTTATTTGATGAAATAAAAATACATGTATCAATTGTATAAATATCAATATGATTTGCGATATGATATTTAACATTTTTGCTATTTAGCAAAGAATAATGCCAAATTTTATAGTAGGATTTCATATTAACAAGAAAAGGGAAAAAAAGCCATATAAACCAAGCGCGGATGTTGAGACGCAAGGGGGATATTAGAATTTAATAATAAAAAATATCATTTTATTAAATTTCACATTTAATATTTCACCGACAATTTTATTTTTATATAAATATAAAACTGAACAGGTGAAAACTGTTCTTCGGAAGGCTGCGATAATTCCGGATGTTCTAATAATTCATCGACGTTTCGCGGAATTACTTTATGCGCTATTTTAGCAGTGCACATTTTCCTCCATTTTTTTTTCTGATACTATATTCTTTATATACTTATTAAAAGACCCATTAAAAATTATGTACAGAGATTGCAAGCAGAATCTCATCTCTTATTTTATACATCGCCGACCACTCGCCGAGATGGAATCGCGAAATAATAATAAACCGTTGTTATCGCATTAGCATCGATCGCCGCGTTCGGATCGCGATAGTGTGCGCCGCAATATCGCCCGGTGAGTATCGCAGCTGTTGCCGAAATCACCGAATTATTTTCGTCACGTGTTTATCGACAGTCCGATTGCGATGCGAGCGGGCGAGCGAGCGAGCGTGCGAGCGAGCAAGCTGAGGGAGTGCAGTCCCCTCGTAATGTAAAAAGAAATCGACGTAAACACGTAAGTGCGGAATCGGGGTGGCCGCTTTTAGCGCTCAGATGCGCCGTCCGCACGGGCCAATAACGTTATCAGAAGCGACCGGTCGATCGGTCGGAGCCCTCCGACACACAGTGTCAACTTTCCTCTTTCGATCGAACCCCGCGCGTTCCTGGGTCGGCCGGGCTTGTGAGCCGGTCGCTCCTTCTCTCTCGCTCTCGTCTCCGCCGCGCGTCCACCGGAGCGAGAGAAGTGTCGTTCCTGCTCAGAGGTGTCGTCTCAGACCGGGACGACACGGCGGATGCCGCAGGATCCTACAGGAAGCGCGTCGATTCGTCGGATGACGCGCACGCCGCGACGGAGAACGGAAGTGGATGCTGAGAAAGAGTGGAAATATCAGAAGCGCCTAAGGGAATATCCCTCTCTCTCTCTCTCTCTATCCATCGCTCTCTTTCTCGCGTCCTGATGTTCCTATTCGCTCCGATCCACCCTTTCTCTCCCTCGCAACTCCTCCACCCCTATCACCCTTCCGAAGAGACACTCTCTTCCTCTCGTGCGCTCAC